TCTCAGAAATCTAAGAAGTTAATTTCTCTCGGTACCTCTGTGGAGGAACCACTTGTTGCTTCTCTTGGTTGTTAAGATGTATTTTCTCTGATACAATGGAAGAGCTGTGTCAGAACCAGCAAGTCTTTTGCCAAGTTGCAGGATAAAACAGCTCCCATGAGCTGAGCATGATGTTTTTTGGGGTATTTCCATGGGAGCTGCCCCACCATGCCCTCTTCCACTGATTTGCTTCTGATATTAACAGTAAATTTGAATCTTGCAAATATAATCTAAAATTTAAAAATAATTTCTTACCTACAAGCTGAGTTGATGGCTTTTATACTTGGAGGCATTGTGTCACATAGGTTATATATTTTGATTTTTATATGAGGCAACATAATGGGCATTGCAATCAGTGCAGGCTCACAGTAGTAAATGTTTATAAATTACTACCATATGCTGATTCAAATAGAACACATTTTATTTAAAATAATTATCAGACTTTTCACCTTTTTTAAAATGAAATTTGGGGTTTGGCAGGTTTAATATGGATTTAATGTTTTTAGGATAACAGATGATCAAATAAGGCATAAGAAATTGCTCTTATTAAAAATCTGGAAAACCCATAACACAACAAACCATGCCTGCTTTCCAGCTGGAATGTACTTGCTCCTTATTGACCAGGATACAAATCAACCAGAAAATGCAAGACAGATGATGGTTTCAAGGCTGTGTCTGCACCACAGATTGTATTGGAGATGTCGTAAATTATAATTTAGGATGCATAGGAGTTACATAAAGATCCTTATTTTTTCCCTTGGATTACAATTACAGTGCAGCAGTCTCTATAATGTGCTGGAGTTGATATGTCAGGTGAAAAAAAGAGGAAAAGAATGAAAAAAATAGTCTTGGAATTAAAGGCTTGGAAGTGAAAGCCTGGAAGTGCTACTGTGGGCTTCAGCAGACTTTTGTGACCTTCACTAGAGGGCTGTGCTGGGAGCAGAGCTGGCTGAAGCACAGCAGCTGGGAACTGAGCACAGTCTCACTCTTGCAGGTTGCTGAATAATTTTGGAGGCAAGGGTGACCTCAAGTTCCTGTAGTTAAAACTTTGCCCTGAAACAGGAGAGCTGCTGCAGCAGTGGGGTCCAAGACCCACAGACTTGTCCATGTTCCAAATTGTGTAGAACTAATAAGTATAAGTATGGTCAGTCTTCGTGAGCGAAGATTTGGGAAAGGTCTTTACCCTTCGAGCCTGCGCAATGGATTTTTTAGGTGAGACACAGCGTGCGCTGAACTGAGCCCACCCTTTAATCCTAAGGTTCATCTTCCGGGGCCAGCAAGCTTGGACAGTGGCAGCGAGGTCCTCAGGACGTAGGTTTGTTTAGAGTGACCTTCTCTTAGATGGATGGCCTTACAGGGTTGACGAGCTCCATCTGCCCGGGGGAGTTTCTTTGACCAGGAATCGAACCTGGGCCGCAGCGGTGAGAGTGCTGCATCCTGACCGCTAGACCACCAGGGGTCCCCAGAAGAAGAACTAATAACCTTCTTGAAAAAAAAGGGGTGTTGCTGTAGGATTGAGCCTGTCCATGTTAAAGAAATACTCCTGAGCTACTGGATAAAAGGTTTAATATTTAGAAGAGCTGCACAACTCATTTGACAGAAGGCAATGGACCACAATGCCTGGGTTACTTTGCTCACCCAGTATTCCTGCCTGTGGGGCTGAGAAGGGTAGAGAACGGTAGCTAAGGAATGCTTAAAATAAGAACACACACTTTACTTTGGGAGGTTTTGTTTTAGTGGTTTAATATGCTTTATTTAAAGGAACAGTGACAGTGATTTCCTGAGCGGGGATGGACAGGGAGTCTATAAGAGGAACAAAATAGAAGAGAAGCAGCAAAATTGAGTTACAAAGCAGAAGGTGAACACTGAGCCTGGAGCTGTCAGTCAATTAATAAAAGTTATCTCTCATCATCTAGCATAAATGAACATGGATTTTCGTCATCCATTTGATGTTGTCATGAGGGGTGTGAATGCAAAACCATAATTTCTAGTATTTGCAAGACAGGAAAGTTAAGTAGAAGAGCGATTGCAGGTAAAGATCAGGGATTAATTTCCACATTTTTACAAAGCTCATTCTGCTTTTCTTGCCCTCACTACCCCAGCCTTTTTCAAAGCAGGTTTTTTTGTTCATTTAAAATTATATCATGCCTTAGTAATGAGTGTGAGACTCCTCATGCTAAGGTAAAGTAGGTAGAAATAACTTGCTTCCCTTGGTTAGTAGGATTTAATAGTTTCTTGCCATAGATTTTTTATTTGTATGAATGCTTAGCTCCAGCCCTAGAAGACAACGAGAGCCATTAAGCTCTGAAAAATCACAGGAAACAGTCAAAACCTTGCCAAGTGTTTCCTTTCTTTGTCAAATTACAAAGCCATAAGTGCCAGAAGTGTTGTTCCTACTGGGGTTTAAGCAAAGTACCAATCTTTCAGGTCCCATTGAAGTATATGGAACAACCTTTGGGAAATCAGTGGCATTGTTCATGTGAATAAGATATATGTGCTCCAAGAAATTGTTCTTAGTGCTTTTCTAATAACACGGTGTTGGAGCTTTGTTTGAATGGGACTCCCCATGTCAGGAGCGTGTGCTGGGAATATTGGAGTGGCAGTGCTGCAGTTACCTGGTGTCTGGGATGGTTTATTTTGTACCAGAGCCCCAGAGGGGATGCAGGGAGTGTGTGGCTGTCAGAGCTCACCACAGCCAGCAGCCAAGCAAGAAATCACTGAAGGAGGTCTCCAGGTCAGGGCTACTGGGGCTGCAGTGTGAGAGAAAGGGATTAATAACCTGACTTTTATCAACGCCTCTGGTGAGCTGCCTATGTTTCTTCATTTTGGTACGTCCCAAGGGGAGTAGGTTAGGGTAGGTGGTGAAGAAGTACCACCATCTTTTTATTTAAAATTTTAACCACTCTTCTAGGCAGAATGTGAGTGACCAAAGCCAAACTGCCCCCTTCCATGGGCCTTCCCAATTACATGGCGCTGGGGAATAGACCCAGTGAGGCAGGATAACCCTATGTGCCACATCTCCCTTCCCAGCAGTCCCAGTGCTCTGCTGAAAGGAAAAAAGCCACCCTGATTACTCAGGGCAGAGGAACACAAGAGGGTCTCTCATACAGCACATTTAGTGGTGGGGGGACACACCTCAGAGACAACAGAGGTAGAGTTTGCCCCCTGCTCTGTGGATCATTTTTGGTACTTCATTTGGTGGCAATTAACACAAAAGGTTTAAGCAGTGACTTAGAATTGAGGCCACAGTTTCTTCCATACCAGCACTTTAACTGTAGGGGCTCCAGAACCCTGGTCTTCCTTTGGCTCCATAAGATCTTTCTGCACAGCAGTGAATCTGCAGGATTAATGGAAGCATTGTATGTGACATCATGCACCCAAGTTATCTTCAGTTCTGCCCAGGTAGGACATGTCAGGCCTGGGAGAAATGTGGCACTCAGAAACAGAGGGCTTCAGTCAGGATCCAGGGTGGAAATCTCACTACAGCATCAACCAGATCATCCCCTGGAGTCCATGACATTGCTTCAAGGATAAATAAATCCCTGCTTTGGTCTGCAAGTGCTTTAAGTTAGTTGTCTGAAGGTTTTCCCAGTTGGCAGGATATTTTTGAAGTGAAAAACTCTAGAGCTCAAGGCACTCAAGAGTTCTGTGGAAGGTCCTGAAGAGCACACACGTTGACTGGCAGACTCTGCTCATGGGAATGAGGGCTGTGGGGTTAAGCATTTTGTGATATGAACAGACCCAAACCTTCTAAATTTGCTTCTGTAGCCACCAGGCAAAAGCAGACCTGCCTGCTCCTTCACCCGCCCTGTCAGCCTGGGCATCAGAGCGAGCATCTCATGCCTGCTTAGTTTGTAATCTGAAATTAATTTTCTTTAGGCAAAACTTGATCACAACTACATCACCTCTGGGCATGCACGGGAGCAAGGATTTGTCTCCTTAATTTTGTAGTGAAACTGCCAAAGTATAATTTCTGTGTAGAAGGAAATGGTCACAAAGTCTTTTTAGGAACCTTAGAGGGAGTGTTTCATGTTTAAAGCACAAAAAGTCCGGCTGAATAGAAAGAGAAGTAAGAGGAGCTTGTGGGGCATGTTCAGTGAACAAATGGGACTATAAACATACCCTATAATATAAACATGGGGCCTCTGGTGGTCTAGTGGTTAGGGTGCAGGACTCTCACCGCTGCGACCCGGGTTCGATTCCCGGCCCCCCGGGCAGATGGAGCTCGTTAGCCCTGTGTGGCAATCCATCTAAGAGAAGGTCACTCTAAACAAACCTACGTCCTGAGACCCTCACTGCCACTGTCCAAGCTTGCTTGGCCCCGGCAGATGAACCTCAGGATTAAAGGGTGGGCTCAGTTCAGCGCACGCTGGGTCTCACCTAAAAAATCCACTGCGCAGGCTCGAAGGGTTAATGACCTTTCCCAAATCTTCGCTCGCGAAGACTGGCCATTATAATATAAACATACCATAAAATTCACTGGGTAGATGCCCAAAGATCCAAAATCCATTGCTTCTGAAACTTTCTACAACTATTATTAACCATGTTATATGTAAAACCAGTGGGTTAAAGCTGAAGGATCCCAACCCTCCACATGACGACTGGAAGGTCAACTCCTGATCACACTTCACAGGGAACACAAAGTGCTCATGTGCTTGATCCACTTGGTGTTTCTCGTTTAACCAGGAGTTAATTTGGTGTGGCTTCAGAAAGGAAGAATTTGCTATGGGAGGTGTTTTTCTGCACTGCTCATAAGTAAAGGTTTTGTTTTGAACTATGGCTTACCGTTGGTTGTCCTTTTCCAGGGAAGATTTCATAATATAATTTTTTCTACTTTTAACTTGATGTGACTCACTAAAAAATGGAAATATTCAAGCATTTCCGTGCAGTAAGTACTACATGTTGAGCCTTGCAGCCGCTGGCTGCCAGATCTAACTCTCCCTGTCTGTTTGCAATTGCAGGAGCACGGAAGTCATGAGTACTGTCTCAGGTACACGAAGTACAACAATCACTTTCACTGTCCGACCCGGAGCCAGCCAGCCGATCACACTGCAGAGCAGGTCCCCAGACTATGACAGTAGGACCTCAGGAGCAAGACATGCTCCAAGCCCTGTGGTTTCACCAACAGAGATTAATAAAGACATCATACCTGCCTCTCTGACTGCTTCTGCTTCAGCTTCATCTCCTTCTCCAACTCTGTCTGATGTATTTAGCCTACCTAGCCAGCCCCCTTCTGGGGACTTATTTGGCTTGACCACAGGGCGCAGCAGGTCTCCTTCTCCCTCAATATTACAACAGCCAATCTCAAATAAGCCTTTTACAACTAAGCCTGTCCACCTGTGGACTAAACCAGATGTGGCAGATTGGTTGGAAAGTTTAAACTTAGGTGAACATAAAGAAACATTCATGGACAATGAAATAGATGGCACACATTTACCAAATCTACAGAAGGAAGATCTGATAGACCTTGGAGTGACTAGAGTTGGGCACAGAATGAATATAGAAAGAGCTTTGAAGCAGCTGCTGGACAGATAAGAATAGCTATTTTGCCTCACAAACTTCTGTTGATAACTAGAGATGGGCTGGTACTGACATACCCCAAATGCCTTGTGTGTCTGCGAGTGCCAGCAAAATTGGGGGATGGGGAAGGGAAAAACAGTTGAATTCCTGGTACTCAGGTGATGCAGACTGTATGCTACATGCCCAAACACAAATCTAAAGATGTTAAAGTAAGTGGGGCCATTTTATTTCAAAGTTGTGGGGAGATATGAGAGAGAGACAATTGTTAACTTCAAAAATACTATCTCTTGATGCCCTTTGCTGGGATCGTGATGTACTGCTTTTCCTTCCGTTTCAAATTGCAAACATTTCAGGGCTTTTTTTATTGAGAAAAAGAAAAAATAATTGAATTTTATTTTTTTCTCTTCTTGACCTTCAGTCTCCGAGCAGGCTTCCTTCCCCAACTCTTGGCTCATTTTAAGAGTACAGGTTGCTTCATTACCATTCAAACCCATTTTTTTTTAGGAGCAGAGGCATGATATTGAGATGGGTACAGGAGTTCATGTTACTCTTTTTTATTGGTTTAGCTCTCTGATTTATTGGCAGTGAAGCTGGTTGTTCTGCTGGAAGTAGTTCAAAGGTAACCTTGCTCTGTTTTACCTGGTATTTCTTTATTTCTGGAGTTATATTTAGCACTCTTCCAAGGTGGCAGAACAAGTTCAATATACGCTCCATTGACTTGACCTGTAAGATAATGCAGATGTTGCATAAAACCCAAGGAGGGATGCACACTTAGAGGTACAACAAAATGAAGCTAGTTTGAACCTGAGATCCCCAGTTTTCAACCAGCTAAACCACTGCTAATTCACAATGTGAACTCCACAAGCCGGGAAAAATTTTGGGTCATGTGCAGATGCATCTTTTGGACTCAACAGTCGGACACTCAAATATGCTGGGCCCTGAGAGGTGCTGTTTAATTCAGTGAGTGGTAAGTGCTTAGTTATTTTCAACATCAGGCCAAAAAAGAAGGAAAAAGGCAGATGAATGCTCCCATTGAAGTCAGTGGGAAGGGTGCCAGGATTTTAGGATTTCAGCCTGTTAGAAATGGAAATGTTTCAGCTTGTTTAAAAAAAAAAAAAAAAAAGACAAAAAGGTGACACCAAGATGGAAAGAGCTGTAGAGTGTCTCAGGATGCATGTATTCCAAGAGCCCAAGAGGTTTGGGGAGGGCTCCAGTGTCTCATTTTATCACTGTTAACAGGTATTGGCTTCTTGACAGGCACAGGCTGGGTGCTGGGGGGAGGTGGATGCTGCTCATCCTTTCTTTGGCAGGACAGATGTGTTTACCCTGCCAGAAACCAGGGCTGGGTTCTGGGGGCAGAGAGAGCTTTCCAGGAGACTTCAGTCAGCAGGGGAGAAACACCCACATTTGGTTCACATGACTTTTAAAAAAAATTTCTTTTTTATTTTTTTGACATAAATTTTAAAGTTAACAAGTCTCTCTCTACATGTTTGGACTCCCCTTGTAATTAACACCTCTGAATATCTGTGAGTTTTGTAGGTCTTTATGGACAGAATATTCAAGATGTTCAAGGTGGGTAAATTGAGTGTGGATGGCTAAACTGCCTACCTACCATACTTTCAGGTTCTCTTACATTTTACAAGGTACCTGACTTTCTTTCCTTGATATGGTCCTTGATATGGTCCAGCCTATCTCTAATTTTTTTATTGTGATTATTTTTTGCTCACAAACAAATGTCTAATTAGGTCTGCAACAGCCCTAGTATGAGTACATAAAGTTTAGCATTTTAAATATCTTTCTTTACTGCAAGTTTAAATAGTTGTACAGATAGTTTATAAGCACAATATTTTAAGAAAATAAGTGGCTGGTCTACTGGGCAGCCTTTGTGCCACTTCAGTGCTAGGAAGTTAAAAACAAGGAAAAAAAAAAAAAAAAAAAAAAAAAAAACACTTTTTGTGGTTTACTACTATTTCTGTGGAATAATTATAAAGTCTTGACCTTTTTAAAATCAACCTCATTTGGATGCATCTGAACCAGCAGAGCTGTGTTATATTTTCTATCTTTGCTAGAACTTCTACAGAGGAGGATGAATATTTCTTCAAAAGTGGTTGTAGTTACCAACACATTGGATACTCACAAAAAAAAACTTATTTAGCCTCCTGCCCCCTTTATGGAACAACAAATATTTTGACCTAACATCTGTTGCTACTCTATATTTGTATTTGAAAGTTCCAAGGAACCTTGTAATAAAAAAAATGAAGTACTAAGTCATTTTCCTTCCAAGAGTACTGAATTTTTCCATAGGTGGTGTAGAAAATGGCAGTTCCACTCAGATAGTTGATGCTGGCAACTTGAGGCCATCACATACTTTAAGAAGAGAAAAAAATGGTAATTTAGCCATCTTTGTCTTCCATTTGGTGATACAAAAGAATTCAGTAAATAAACCACTAATGCCATGCTCTTTTTTCTTTTTTTGTTTGTTTGTTTGTTTGTTTTTGGTTTGTTTTGTTTCTTTGGGTATAGTTGCTATTACCTCTATAACATGTGCCAGAAATACATTAAAGAATAACAGTAGTAAAAGAAAATGTAGAAGTTGACTTTTAAGCTGCTTTTGAATCACAACCTTGTTGAATTTCTGTTGAACAAGTGCTGACACACCTTTTAAATTCCAGTTGACATCATCCCTTTCTTACACAAGTGTGTTTCTTGCTCTCGTGCATCTTTTCAGGCAATGAAAGAGTAGGTACAATGCAAGGAGTAGAACAGAGGTTGAACACGTTAAAGAGCCAACAAAATAGTTGATTTTTTACGCTGTGTCTTACAAAATGAAGGTAAGGAGACCTGAGAGGACCTACTTTCACCACGAAAATACACCTCTGCCAAGATGAATTGGTCTCTAATTGGGGGATGGTTTGGCTACAGAAAGCAATAGTAACAGATAACGACATCACCTCTGAGTGTTCTCACCAGTCTGGAAATGTTGGGGGGGAGGAGAGAAGACCCATTTCTTTCATGCTACTCTGATAGTGAAAAACAAGTCGTTAGAGATCTATGATATTCTGGGTTTTAGGATCAACTTTTGTTTATATACTGTAATTTAAATAAATTGCATTTACATGCCTAGTTTCTGTAATATTTGTGTATACAATACCAAAATCCTACAAGATGTAAATTGTGTATAACTGCACAGACTCCTTGCCCTAGGTGTCTGAGAACATTTTAAGTTTAATTCATATATTATAAAATTACTAGATGTGACTGTTGATTTACAGAATTTACATATCACAAAAAGTTAATTATTTGTGGTACTTAAGTTAATAAAAAAATAGTGAATTCTTTTTCTTTTTTCTCAGTTCTTAAAAAGCATTACCCAGTTAATCTGGCGATGATTATGTGTATGAGCCACAAATATTGATAATTTTTCCATTACATTTTTTCTTTTCTTTTCTAGATATTAATATGTTTCTCGCTATAGTTTGTGTAACAACTTGTGTTCACGTTATCTATGTTGCTGTAATTTTTGTGCTTTAATTCCTCTTATTTCAACTGATTAAAAAAAACAAGCTCCTGTAACTTGCACTTTTCCCCAATCCTTAATACTCTTGTATGGCAACCAAAATTACTGTAAGAAATAAATATAATATTGCACTAAGGTTGTGGTTCTGATTGCAAACAGAGAACACTGTCTGGATTTTTATTAAAAAAAAAAAAGTTGCCAAAAAACTTGCAATTTGTTTTGAAAACACATGAAATGCTTTAATGAAATGTAGGTAGAATTAATGGAATGAATGGAATTAATTATTGTTGGGAAAAAGCATTTCCTGTTTATTTCTTCTTTTTGGTTAAAGCATTTTTTATGCTGAATGTTCGTTTACTGAATTTCAGGTTCGTAATTGAAGTTTGGAAAGTAAAAAAAAAAATTTAGGAAGAGATAGAAAACTTCGTATCTATTTGCCTTAAGGTGGATTTGGAATAACTATGGAATGTTCTTTGTCCTGGCTGAGCATGGGGGGAGGGATGCATGCCCTGAACTCAGTGCTACTGGTCCTATTCTGTTCTGCAATTTAAAAAGGCACTGAAAAGTGGGATTTTTTTTTTTTTCTTCTTTTTTTGAAAAAAATTTTTTTTGAGGGGAGGAGCTGGAGATATTGTAGGACAGAGTAGTTTTCCAGAGGAGAGAAGGGAACAGTGCTCCTTGTGACTTAAAAACTGTACCAGTGGGGTCTGGTTTTACTGTGAATAAACAAGGCTTCAAATGGAAAGAAAAATAAGGAAACAATTCACATCTTCGTTTGGCTTAAGTTAAAAATTTGGTTTTCTGTCTTTAAATGGTGATGCAATGAAGAATATTTTTATTTTTCTTTTCTAAGATATTGGAATAAATGCCTAGAACTGTTGCCACTTGGTTTCATATGTTCCTTAACTACTATTCTCTTCTCAGATGTTGTTCTAGTTCATAATTTTTGTAGCTACTTCTCTCATAATTCTCCAACAACAAATACTTGGCAGCTTTGTTTTGTTAAAAACACAGAAGATAATCAGCCTGTTTGGGTTCTTTTTATTTATTTATTTCAGGTATTGTGGCAATCCAGTGCTAAACATCTTTGTATCTAAATAAAGTCAGGTATTTACAGTGCAAAACGAAGAATGCTTTGCAATTGTCTCTGCTTGTTGGCCAAAGAAATGAGAAGAGTTGATCATTGCTGTCATTGTGTACATTGTATCAATGTGTTATGTTCTCTTTTATTCTTTGGTTTAGGCATTTTTCTGATTTTTTTCCCTGTATTTTTCTGCATTTTGAGGACTCTCATTCTTTTTGTCTTTTGATGGGCCATCCAGAATATCATGATTGTAACAATACATCGGAATGTGTGTTTTTCTAAAAAAAAAATTGTATGTGCCTTATAATTTCCAGCCTAGATCAGCTATACTGTATTTAACATAAAAAAGCTTTATCTTAAAGGTGGTTTAGTACCTGACAAACAGAGTGTGCAGTGCTGGGCTTCGGAGGGAGCAGTTAGTGTCGCTGCATTAGGAAAAACAGATACACTGAATTGATTTATATCTTATTTTGCTACATTTTTTGGCGTGACGAGCCTGATTTTAAACCTTCTATTCAAATCAAGTAAATGAGGGGGGAGAAAGTGAAATGAGACTGTTATTTTTAGGTTGTTTATTGCCATAAATACTTGGTTATTGGTGTAGTTGACATGTGCTGTGTTTCACAGACTAGGTAACAATACTAAATAAACCAAGTGGACTTAATGCTGTTAAGTCTGCACCAAACTGGTTCTATACCGCTGACATCTAGTGGAGTCTGATGGACATTGTCTCAGAGCAATAGAAGATCTTTTGCAATAGTTCTTTCTTTTCAACAACTGTCATTCTTTCTATGAGAAATAGTTTCAGAAGATTTTGTATTATTATTTAAGTTGGCCTCCGTATGTAAGTCATAAAAAGGCTGACTGTATAATTACACAAATTATACATGAATGAGGAGTCTTTAAAGAGCTGTAAATGTGTTTTCTAGTCTATGTGTGCTTCTTTTTTCTCAGTTTTATGTTTTGAATGTGAGCATCTCCTTCATCTGCATCCAGCACGTTTTTTAATGGGAATATGGGTTTTTGTCTCCAGTACTGTTAATCTCAGACTGTTTTGACCAATTCCTGACATTGCAATCTGATGAACAGCAGCTTGTTTAGTTCCAAACTCTCCAAAAGAGAGTGAGGTCTTTAGGTCAGGAAGCAGTTCAGAACACCGGGGGGGCTTATTTTCCCAAATGTACTTGCAGAGTTTGGTTTCTCCAGTAAATTTTTTTTCCTCAGGACTGATGCTGGGAGGAATACGTGCACGTGTGTGTGAGTTCTTGTGTGCTTTCAATGTAAAGGTTCTTGGGCAGCATTAGAAATTACTGTACAAATAGGACACCAGTGTTGCATGTGCTTAAAAATGTATTGAAATCAATGTCACCGTGTACCTGTTTGCTCTGGAGAATACAATATACGGAAATGTCAAAATCTAATTCATGTTTTAATGGGTTATTTTCTACTCATATTTTCCCATTATCTAACTGTCTCTAATCCCCCAGCTTTCTTAAAAGCGATTTAAAGTGATTACTTGTAAATTTTAGGGAAAAAAGCGCCTTGGAGTAGCTTAAGCTGAGGTTTGGGAAGAGGAGCTCACCTCTCCATGCACAGCCTTCTGAAACCTCAGATGCCTTTGCCTTAAGGATGTTCTTCTTAAAAAAACAAATCCTGAGGGAAGCATTGCCTTGTTATCACAATGTAAAGGATTCCCAACAGTTTTGGGAATGGCCAAACATGGCTCTTCCACCCCCCAAGCTGCCCCTAGAAAATACTCAGTGGGGAACTACTAATACATGTACTAATACATTTGTCCTTTTATTTTGGTCTTGTTGGTGCAGCCTGATGGCTCCTTAGAAGACAAATTCAGACCTGCAGTGGGAAGGGCAAGGTGAGAGCTCCAAGTTTCTCATTAGAGGAGATCAGACAGAAAGGGGGCTGAGACAGAATTTACTTATAATTTACTTATTTTTTATTGATATGGTTATTACTTATCATTTCCTTGTCACACACAGTGTTGAAAAATGAACAAAAATTACTTATTTTTTATCTAGATGTAGTCAATTTGGAGCTTTGTGTCTAATTGAGCTAAAAAATACAATTGTGTTAGAATTTTTTTTACTTCAAGTCCTGCTGTATCCTCTATTTATAGATGATATATAAATATATATATATTCATATATATATGAGACATTTACTCTGTCTCAGCAATTTCCCTTCTTTACAAAGCATTGGATGTTAGTTTTAATGTGTGCAACAATCTGTAGATCTGGTTACCTCACATGTAAGACTTAAGTGCCCCAGGAACAGATGTTACGCTGTACATTTCCCCTGAGGCCATTTGAAATCTCTCATAATGCTAATTTTCTGCATTACAGAGAAAACCCAAACAGGCGTAGTTGACTTCCAGAAGCTATTTAGCAATTTTTAGGGAAGAATTTTTCTTTCAGAGACCACTTCCTCACCTCTCTATGCATTCAAAGCAGATCATTTGCACACCTGGCCTTTTAGTCTGGCATTTCTGCAAATGGTTTCATTCAAACCTGTGTTCTGGTACCACCTTGGTGCAAACTACAACCCTTTAAAGAGAAGTCACTAATAGTAGAGCTAGTACTGTTTGTGCTGGTGAAGAGGCTGGTTTATTCACAGGGAAGATCAATGATTCACTTGAAAAAACAGTGCACTGGAAAGAGGGAATATTCTCTTGTACAACAAGCAGAGAATCTCTCCATGAATCCACTGGACTGTTGGAGGGGACAAGGAAAGAAGAGAAAACTTTGTCTTGATAAAGACATGCACAACACACAGCCATGAAAAAGGCATTTTGCACAAGAAGTAAGGCCCTATTAGTGTGAGTGGGCTGGAGGGTGTTCACAGGAGCTCATCCAGGCGGGTTCCAGCAGGAGAGGTATGGGAACCAGCTGCTGTGCTGTAGGATCTGGAAGTGGGGGCTGCAGCAGGGTTTGGAATGACTGGGTCTATTTAACCAGGCAAATACGAGGCTTGAAATGAGATGTCTGCTTTTCCCACTCACATGAGTGGGTGAGCTGCCAGCACAGGGAACGTGAAAGGAACTGAAAGGAACGTTGGCGCTGGAACGTTACTGATTGGGGATGAATTCAGGATGGAAGCTGGGAGAAAATCCTGACAGTAAGAAGAATGCGGCTGTGGTGTAGTGTCCCACAAGGAATAGCATGGAAGTTCACCACCCCAGGGGCTGAAAGTTCATAAATACAGGAGAAGGCCTGTGTTTATCTCTCATGGCACATGCTTTATCTTGAGCACCTCCTTGCAAACTCATCTGCCAAAGCCATAGGCTTGGAAAAACAGGGTGGAGGGATCCCAGCCTACCCTGGGAGCAACCCCCATTGTTGGAAAGATAGATGAAGGCTCTAAAACAGTGTTTCCCTGCTGGACAGAGGTGTGAGGCGTGGCACCTTCCAGGTGAAGCCCTTATTCTGTAGGAGTTCAAATTGTTTAACCCACCATGGCATAGGAGAGGCCGTGGAGGCTCCCAGGATGAGTCCATTCCTCAGAGAGCAGGGCAGGACAGAAGGGATTGGCAGCTGGGAAGCCCAGCTGTCATGATTCCTTCCACCTGCTAGAGTAGGTGATTACATTCTTACATATTAAATTATTTACTGTGATATAAATTCCTCCCTGTGAGGGTGGTGAGGCCCTGGCACAGGTTGTTCAGAGCAGATGTGGCTGCTCCGTCCCTGGAAGTGTTCAAGGCCAGGTTGGACAGGGCTTGGAGCAACCTGGGATAGTGGAAGGTGACCCTGCCCATGGCAGCAGGGTGGAATGAAATGAGCTTAAGGTCTCTTCCCACCCAAAACAGTCCAGGCTTTTATGATTCTATGATGTATTTTACACTGAAAAAGAATAATTAGATTAATATTGAAGGACTAGATGAAGCACTGGAGCAGGGAAACAAAAACCTAGGATATGCATCTAAGTGATGCCAAACCTGGATGCAGTGTCAATAAATTGCAGGGGAGAGGGGCCACAATTTTTTCAGGCAAGATAAAATCCTGCCACCTCTGCACAAGCAGTGCATCCTCTTATCAGCATGAAACAAGTGAAATAAAATAGCTAAAATGAAATAATGAGCTGCAACTCATTAGAGATTAAGCTCAAGATTACACAAGACTAAGCAACTAGCCCTGATCTACTGTTAACAAATGCCATTTATTCCTCACCTTCAAGTTCTGCTTGTTTTCATGGCTTATTTTGTTCTTTTTTTTTAATAAATAAATAAATAAAACAGCTAAAGATCGTTGCATTCATGTTGGAATCAATCACTCCCATTCCACTCTAACTGAAGGGTTTTATGTGTATTACATCACAGCTGACATCATCTCATAAATCTCTGAAAAAAAATAGAGCCAGGAAAGCAAACATCAGATTTTGTAACACTTGAAGTTAAAGAGGAACAAATTCAAGTTGTTCTTGACCGATTTTGCTATGGACATGACTCCATTCTTACACATCCCCCTGTAACAGGGTGTCCCCACATTACCAGGATGGGCTGAGCAAGTAGGAAAAGGAAAGAGAAAGAGGGGAAAGGGAAAGAAAGGAAATGGAAAGAAGGGAAATGAAACCCCTGAGGGGGCTGCTGCCTCTATTCTGTTGAAGAACCCAGACAAGCCAGTCTCTCTGCAAAAACTATTTGACATCAGATGGAGTTTCCTAAAACCAAAGTGAAGGATTGACACCTGGTGAGACCTGATTCACCACAAATTCCTTTGCCAGCATCTTGCAGACCAGAACATAAATTATGACAGACAAAGACACTTCAACCCCCTTCAGAGACATTTCATCCTCCCCACTAATCACTGACTGTTTTTTGCCTGCTCATATGGTTCAGCTATGGGCTGAAGAACCAGGAGATGGCATGATTCTCACCTCTCCTTTAGGAAGAGCCAGGGTCAGAGTGCTGGAAGTCTTACTCCTTTCTTCACGCTGTTTAAGGATTTTTAATTTCGGCCTATTTTGCTTGAATGCTTTTGTTTTCTTGGTTTTTTTTCTCCTCCTCCCAGCTGAAAGTTCATGTCACC